ATAGTATCATCTCTTACATACATGGGCCATAGTAGAATGTTAGGTTTTCCTAACATTGCACTTCCATGGGACAATGTGCAGTAACCAATTGGATACGAAATTCTAGATTTCAGGGAGAGGTCAAGGCTAGAGATAGAAATTTAAGAGTCATTGTAAATATACGGAATATGGTTATGGTTGTTATATCCCTTCAGTATTATAAGATGATTCTGTATAACCCAAAAGTACTTTGCAAACAACATCTGAGGAGTAGAGATCTGGCATCAGAGACATTACCAAAAGCTGCAAATGAAACTTGTGTTCTGCCAGGAGCAAATAGAATGCCAGGAACAGGTATAAAAACCTCATTAGCATTCATAATTTGAATTGCTCCTAATTTGCCTGATTAAGGAAACAGCTTTATGGTGAGTCAGATTATAATTTTATAAGTTGATTTGCAAAATCAATTACAACTTTATGGTATTACATTTTGGGGATATTATATATTATCTCAATGGAAATTAATAAGCCCTGGATGAGCACACTTCGGCTAGTTAAGACAAGATTAAGAAGATAAAACTGCCTCTAATTTATGGACAAACAGAATATGATGTATCAGAATCTCATAAGGCAGTTTCATCAATTTGATTTCAGCTTTTTCTCACAAATGCTTTAGTCTTTTTTGTTTTTAAATCTTGACTATCTTGGCATCTTTTAGTAAAAATATTTTTGTTTGGACGTTACTCAAGCTGACCTTGATAGATCTAATGATAGCCTCTTCCAGCTGAGGCAGTGTTTCTCGATTTTTCATTATTGCCTCCCTCTCACCAAGAAACCTTTTTAGATTTTTTTATAATTGTGTTATTTTTATTGAGGTAATGTTGGTTTACAACACTGTAATTGATTTAGAGGTTCACACCTCTTCAGAAGTAGGTTACCACACCTACCACTAAAGCCCCAATAATCATCCACAGGGCCTATTGGGTTCCCACCCCACCCCCATTGCTCTCATCCCCTTCCTCTGGTAGCCTCATACCCTTTCTCTCTTGTAGCCTCAATCCTACAGTCAGATTTCCAGGATTAGTATTGGTTCAATATAACCTGTTCCTTTGCTTCATTTCTTTATATTCCACATATAAGTGAAATCATGTAGTATTTATCTTTCTCCTTCTGACTTATTTCCACTTAACATAATCCCATCTAGTTACATCCATGTTGCTGCAAATGGCAAGAATCCATCTCCTTGTATAGCTGAGTAATATTCCATTGTGTATATATTTCACATCTTAATCCCATCATGTGAAATTTGGCACTTAGATTTTTTTCCCCTAACTTAGCTTTTGTCAATAGTGCTGCAATGACACTACTTACAATAGGTAAGCTGTAGAAACAAACCAATGCCCAAAAATAGATGACTGGATCAAGAAGATGTGATATATATATATATATATATATATATATATATACACACACACACACACACACAATGGAATACTATTCAGCAACCAAAATATTTAAACTCAGGCCATTTGCAGCATCTTGGATGGAGCTGGAAGGGATTATGCTTAGTGAAATAAGTCAGAAGGAAAAAGAAAAATATAAAATGGTTTCACATATAGAAAGAATATAAGGGAATCAAATAAGGGATCAGGAAAATAATAATAATAATAAAACACAATTAACAGGCAACTATAAATCAGATATATTCTGCAGGGGAGGGGGAGGAAGAGGGATCAAAACAGGGGAGGGAAGAGCACAGGGGACTATGGAGATGGTGCCTGGGTAAATTGGTGGTGGGAATTTTACAGGGACTACACCTGAGGGGAGAAAGCATGCATTGTACAAAAATGAAGCATGATGTAAAAAATATATAATTTTTTTAAAAAATAGTGCTGCAATGAACATTGGAGTGTATATTTCAAATTAGTGTTTTGCCTTCTTCAAGTAGATTCCTAATAGTAGATGTGCTGGATTGTATGGTAGATCTATTTTTTTAGTATTTTGAGAAACTTCCATACTGTTATCCATAGAGGCTGAATCAGTCTAAATTCCCACCAGCAGTGTACAAGTTTTCCTGTTTCCCACACTCAAACTAACACTTATTTTGGTTTTTATAGATGGGCCATTCTCACAGGTGTGAGGTGGTATGTCATTGTTGTTTGATTTGCATTTCCCTGAGGATAAGTAATGACAAGCATTTTTTCATGTGCCTGTTGGCCATCTGTATGTCTTCTTTGGAGAAGTGTCTGTTTAGTTCTTCTGCATATTGTTTGTGTTATGTGTTGATGTCATTCATTGTATGAGTTCTTTGTATATCTTAGATATTATTCCCTTGTCAGATGTATAGTGTGCAAATATCTTCTTCATTTGGTATGGTGCTTTAATGATAAGATTTTTCACTGTACAAAAGCCTGTTTAGTTGATGCCCTTCCATTTGTTTAGTTTTGCTTTTGTTTGCCTTGCTGTTGGAATCAAGTCCCCAAAGACATCTCTGAAGTCAGTGTCTCGAAATGTTTTGCCTGTGCTATCTTCTATGTATTTTATGGCTTCAGGTCTTAACAAATCTATAATCCATTTTGAGTGAATCTTTATGTATGTGGTATGACTATGAAGCTATAGAAATCAGAACAGTATGGTATTGGAATAAAAATACATACACAGACCAATGGAATAGAATTGAGACCTCAAAGATAAACCCACACTTGTCTGGACATTTAATTTATAACAAAAGAGCTGAAAATGAACAATTAAAAGGGAAAGTCTATGCATCAATGGTGTTGGACAGCCATATGAGAAAGAAAGGAAACCAGACCACTATCTCAGAACTTTTCAGGTGGTTTTTTTTTACACTAATCACCACTCCATAAATTATTTTATTGTAGTAAAATTTATACATGAAATGATTTATCACTATAACCATTTTTAAGTATCATTAAATACATTCACAGTGTTATATCCAAACTACTAAATATATATCAATGTTATATCACTACTAAATATATCCAAAACATTTCATCATGCTCAACATAAACCCTGTACCTATTATGATATAAATACCCTATCCCCTCTCCTCAAGCCCCAGATAACTTCTAATATATTTCTGTCTCTATAAATTTGCCTATTCTAATATTTCATATAAGTGGAATTATGTAGTATTTGATCGTCTGTGTTTGGTTTATTTCATTTAGCATAATGTTTTCAAGGTCTCTCTGTGTTGTAGCATATATCAAATTTCATTCCCCTTTATGACTGAAAAATATTTCATTGTATGTAAAACATTTGTTCATCCATCATCTCCTGACAGGCACTTGGGTTTTTCCTACCTTTTGGCAGTTGTGAATAAGGTTGCCATGAACATTGTTGCACAAATATCTGTTCATGTGCCTGCTTTCAATTCTTTTGAATATGTTCCCAGGCATGGAATTATTTGGTCCATAAAATTTTAATATCACAGTTACACATCTGTTTATGTTACATTTTTACAAATACATATATATCTATTTGTGCTTTATACATCAAATGATAAGATTTCCTTACCGGCCTACCAGAACTAGTTTTTACTTCTGTGAGGGGGAATGATATTGCTTTCACTGAGTTTGCAGACCCTATGGTAAAGATCCTCAGATTGCTTATCTCAGATGAAGAATATATATGTAAGAAACATATACTTACATAAACTTCTTAAAGAGGAGTGAACCCCTAGATGATAAGAAAATTACCCCCAAACATCAACTGTAAAAAAGTCTTTATTCCAAATGTAGTAAAATGATTCATATTTTATTTAGTCTTCAAACTTAACAACAGTAAATGAAGCAATCCAAGCATGCTTTGGAAAAAAGCTCTTAGCAGCTATGTCAGGACCAAACCAATGGAACAAATATTCTAAGCTAAACTTTTGAAGACAGTGAAACTTAATGGTACTACTATTCTCAGTGAAACTAAAATATCTCCAGAACACAAATAAAATAATTATGAGTAAGTATGTATATAAAATCAAAGAAAAATATGAGATCCAAAGATTAGGATGTGGGAAGCCAGGAATCAGCAAGGTCACAGGATGTCTCTGCCAGTGTTTGGAATACACATTGGTATCTAGTCAGTAGGCAGTAGGGCAAGATTCCTGGCAGATGCACACCTAAGTTTGATTGTAGTGTAGTTGCCTAATGCTATAGGATTTCATTATATAAAGAAGAGATTAAGAAGATTATGTAACAAATAGTATTTGGGAAAAAAACAGTTTCCAATACCTGACAACAACCCTTGAAGTGTCAAGAAGACAGAGACTGAGGAACTGAATGTGAAGTGTCTAAGGAGACATCACCATTAAATTCAACTTGGGCTCTTGAATTGGATCCATGAGTGGGAAACTGGAGACATTTTAATAAAGTCTGTAGTTTGGTTATTAGTACTATACCAAAGTTAATGTCATTGTAGTAACTATGCACAGCTGTGCCAGATGTTAACATGGAGGAAAGTTAAGTGAAGAGCACACTGGAGCCTTGTACCATACTTGCAATTCTTCTGTGAGTCTTAACTGCCACTTTCTTACACAATTATCCTTTGAGAATTGATTTTAGAAAATATCTTTAGGGTTTTAGACAAAAATACAATAATATGGTAAATTGTAAGAATATAGATAGCTAAAAATAATGAAGCTGCACATATTTATAGTAAATACTCCAATGTAACCAACCATTTTTATTAACTACAACTCATTAAGGAAAGCATATTTTGTTGATTTTATTAATACCTTGCTTACCATTCAGATTGAAAATTGTGAATTTGATTGTTAACAAATAAATTGAACAAATGACTCAAAAAAATAAATGAAATTATTTCAGAATGACAAACAAAGAAATCAAACAACAAAGTTTCTGGTAGCTCCAAAGCAACAAAAGCAAACTGGTGCTTGGAATTGCCGAAGATTGGTTGGGTTGGGGGATCTCTAACTGAAACAGCAGCAGCTTTGAAATCTGACATGAGAGTAACTCCTACCTTTTTCCTTTTCCATTCTGTTTCAGGGTGTGTTGGGTGCATCACGTAACGGGGATGTGGGTGTACCCTTTCCTGGAACACATTGGCTCGGGAGCCAGAATCATCTTCTTTGTATTTACAACCATCTTAATGAACTTTTTGTACTTGCTGGGAGAAGTTCTGAACAACTATATCTGGGATACACAGATAAGTAAGTATTGGTGAGGGGAGCATAAAGCAAGAGAATTGCTTCCTAAAAGAGTGAGTGCAGAGACTGAAGGAAAATTCCACTGTAGCACAGGACCATTATAAAGAGTTTCATTTTTATAACCATGATTTTAATTTAAGAGCAGCAGGCAGTTACTTGAAACATTTATCACTCACTTTATCTTATTAACCAGTAAAACATTATCCAAATCTAAGAGAAAAGAAACATGTCTAAAGTCTTAAAGGGAAAAATGTAGAAATACAGAAAAAAATTTAGAAAGTTCACTCTGATTAACAAAATGCGGACAGAGTTAAATGAAATAAATGATTAACTGTAACCAGTCTCATTAATAGTCACCCAGATCTCCACTTTCGTGTCAACCTTTGTGTGAGAATAGTCACCTTAGTAAGATCTTGTCCCCATTCTGCTCAAATCCTAAGGCACCTGGAACACCTGTTCCTTCACTACTGTCTGTCATGTTCAAGGGTGGAAGGTGACTAAGAGGTGCAGGTAGTAAAAGGGTAACATTTCATTACTGCAAAAACTCTTTTAATCTATGATTTGATTTCTCTTTTCTTTCTATTTATGGCAGAGCCACCATCTTTACAAGACACATAATCTTATCCAAGCTGTGTAAAACCTGTCGAAGGTGTTTTTGTAAGATTACATAAAGATGGGAAAGTGGAAACAGCCACAGCGCAGATACATAGTGGTTTGAGTCCTGCATGAAAACACAGGGGAAGATGGCTGGGTGATCTCAGAGCCCTGGGCACCTCCACCCTCACCATCACAGCTTGATATACATCATCCGCAAATGCTTTCTGATCCACAAAATGTGAGCACTTACTTTGTGCCAGAATCTATGCCATTCTCTTAATGAGTTAATCAACATTGTGCAGCCTATTTCAGAATCTAACCAGACGAATAAAACAGTTACTGCTTGGTTATTGATTCAGACTTTCTGTGCGTGGGTCTTCTAAGACCATATGCGTCAAGATATTGACCAATATTAGATGGCCCAGAGGAATTTGAGGGTATCTTCTTTCAGCACATGGCTTGATTTTAACAAGTGACCTATTAAAAAAGGTCAACATTTTTATTTGGCTCAGGCCATAGCTTGGAGGAGCCAGAAATTTATCTCTGAACAATTTTCCTCTTTTGTATAATAGTCATCTTTCTTGATTAGTTAACTTATAAAAGTGCTTAACTAACTTGCAAAAATATTTTCAGAACAAAATGTAAACTTGTCTCAACTTCTTGGGAGAAAAGCCATATTTAAATGTAAGCTATTGTGTCCAGTATGTGTTACTCAGGCAGTATTTGTGACCGTTTCCCTTCATTTGCTTGATTTTGTCATTGTTCCACTACTTCTACAAGAATGGCCTGAAAACCAAGAGAGATACAATCCAATCTAGATTAATAAAATACTACTTTTCAGTAGCTTTGATTGGAAAATTAAAAATGAATTGTGAAACTAAGGGTTTTTTGAATGATCTGCTCAATTTAATTTGGCCATTCTCTTAATGAGTTAAGATAGATCAACATTGTGTAGCCTAGTTCAGGTATTAGAAATTATTAATTATTGGCTCACATGGGAAGACCTAGTTAGCTCCACAGCAGCAGATGTTTTATATCAAGTGAGCCTCTTTTCATTTACTAGAGGGATCAAAAACTGATGGCTTCTTCTAAATTTTACTTGCCAAAAAAAGTTTTGTTAAGCCTACTTACTGGGATTATTGTTATTGAACCAACATTTTTAAATTGTGAGATTTTACATAATCTGATCTTCCAGCTTGTCAAATATTTTAAGATCTAGCAACACTGAGCCACTGTTCACTTCTGGAAATGATGAGTTGGAACTAAGCATTGGTTTTCTATTTAGATGGCTCCCTAATTTCACCTAGATCCCACCTGGCCACTTTGCTGAGTTATATTTACTGCCTAGGTATGTGGTATTTGAGTTTGAAACTTCTGATAAAAAGCATGGAGGTGGGAGGGCGTATGTTAGAATTGAGTACAATTATGTAGAGTAGTACTGTCCTGAGTTCATTAGTGTACCCCAGACAAAATCCCCCAAGAAGCAGGAATACCCCACTTGAGTCCCCTTCCTTGTATCCATGATGATTGTTAATGGCCCCACTTCTACTTGGTTATGTTATTTTGGCTTCAACTTCAAGGAAAAATCACATTACTATAGACTTGTATCACTGAAACATTTGTTAGACATAATCTAACCTGACCCTTTCCTTTTACTAAGAGGCAGCTGAGGTCCAGAAATCTTAAGTGACCAACCAGACTATGTGGTTGAAGGGCCAATGTCTTCTGAGTGAGGTTCTGCCCAGTGCCATGTCTAGTGAATCATTAGAACATCGCATTTAGAAAGCAGACACTGGAAGGCTCAGGAATTTCCATCAGAAACATGGACCTCACTTATAAAGTGACAAAATAGAACCAGCCTGATATGAACTATGACCACAGAGACCATAAAGTCTTTAGTGAATCATTTGTTCTTTATTTTAAAATTATATTAATTGAGGTTTATTATTTTTGGATTTTTTGAGACAGTAACTCAAGTAGGCTTTGTGGGCTTGTATTAGTTTGGTAGAGCTGGAACAAGGTACACAAACAGGACAATAGAAATGTGCTGGCTCACAATTCTGGGAACCAGAAATTCATAAGATTGGTTGACTGGTTCCTTCCAAGGGCTATGAGAGAGGCAGATATTCTCTGCTTGCCTTGCTGATGCCTGTTTTTATGCTCACCTGGTGTTCACCCTGCATGTGAGGCTGTTTCCAAATTCCCCTTTTTTATAAAGACACAAGTCATATTTGATTAAGACCCACCCTGAAGACTTCATTTTCATTTGTGAAAGACTCTCTCTTCACACAGTTTATTCTGAAATTCTGGGTGTTAGGACTTCAACATATGGATTTTAGGGAGACACAATTCAGCCCATATCACTCTGCCTTCTGCTCCCCAAATTTTGTGCCTTTCATGCATACAAAATATATCCCCAGTAGTCCCCAAAGTCTTTCCAGCATTAACACCTAAGTCCAATATCTCATCTTAAATGTTATCTAAATTAGTGGCGGGTAAGACTGGGGTTATGATTCATCCTGAAGCAAAACTGCTCCCCAGTTGTGAACCTGTGAAACCAGACAGAAAGTTATCTGCTTTCAAAACACAATGTGGGACAGGCATAGACTATGCATCCTCTTTCCAAGAGAGACAAGTCACAAGGGAAAAAGGGCAACAGTTCCCAGCCCAGTCTGAGAGCAAGCAGGGAAGATTCCACTTGTTTTTAAAGCTTGAGAATAAGCCTCCCTGGCTGGAGGCACTTTCCTCAAGCCTCACCAGGGGGTGTGACCCACCTCCTCTGCCCTGAGTGGCAGTCCTTCCCTGTGGAACCAAGGAGGATCAGGTTCAGAACAGCCTTCAGTCATTCTTTCTTTTTTTTTTTTTTTTAATAATAAATTTTATTTTTATATTCCCCCATACAATTGCAAACACCCCATTCTGACCCCAATCCTTCCCCTCCCGCCCCCCCCACCCCCCAAAAAGTGTCTCTAGTTCATAGTTTTTTGTTGATTTTGATTTTCACTTTCTTATATTCATTTTCCTGGTCCCTTATTTAAGTTTTCTAGATTCCTGCTATGAGTGAGACCATCCGGTATTTTTCTTTTTCTTTTTGGCTTATTTCGCTGAGCATGATCCCTTCCAGTGCCATCCATGTTGCTGCAAATTGCATGTGTTTATCTTTTTTGAATGCTGAGTAATATTCCATGGTATATATGTACCACATCTTCTTGATCCCAGTCATTCTTTCTTAATTTCATCCTGTCTCTGTCTCTTTCCATCCAGGCTGGCAGTGTTTTTCTGCTTGTATAAAATTCTCAAAAATCATAGTTGTCCCATGCAGTTCATGGGGGTTTCAAATCATCAGAAAAAAGGGTCCACCACAGATCTTTCCCGGCATCTGCAGAAATGGTCGATTGATCCAGAAGTTGAATGCCTAATCTCTTCAAATGGATGCCCAGCCACACCTTTTTTCAAATTCTGAGATACTGAGGAGTCAGGGCTTGAGCTTGAGAAGTGGGGGCAGAGAAGCAGGCGACCACAATTCAAACTACAACAGCAGAATATTTCTTTTTAAGCTAAGAATCTCTTTCAATTCCAGTGTGACTGACTATGGGGGCCAGTCTTATTAAACTTTAGGCAACCAGAGATGAAAGTACCCAAAGGAAAAAGGTTGGGGAGACAGCAGAGAAAGCAGCAAAGGCAGAGAAAAAGATGGGCCATGGGAACCAGGCTACGTGACAGAAACGCCACTGCTCTCCGCCCCAGCCCCCCATCCACTGAGGCACACTCAGCCCACCCAGACTGCAGAGTCTCAGCACTGCCCTGGGTCAGACCCCTCTCCCGGCTGGGGGGAATCACATGACCAAGTCTCTTCCACCACTTCCAGCAAGCATATCCTGTCTCAGCTTTGTGACAAGTTTCTTTCTGCTCTTTGTGCTGAAATTAAACCTCGGATTCTTCCAAATATTATTTACAGCTGCCTAATTTTTTCCCTCTACCTCAAAGCTGCCAAAGTAAAATAGGTGGGGAGCCATTTTCCCTGTCTGGGTCAACGAACACCCCCTATTCTCCACCCCCACTTTTGAAGATTCCACTCTTGCTGCCAAGTCAACCCATCTGCAGGAGAACGCTTAGGAGGAAACACTTTCAAATGAAAAGCCAGCAGTTACTAGCTCCTGATAGCCTCTCCATTGGAAGAGACAGGGAATGCTGATGGGGACCAAGTCACGTGTGCTGTTTGAACTGAGCCCATGTTGTGTTTCTGCCTTCACCTTGGTTACCCAACAGCGAAGGCATCTCCGGCTTCTCCGCCCCAACTCTATTCCTCAGATGTCCTTACTTCTCAGTTTGAAGTTTTCCTTAATGGGATTTCTGAGAAGTACTTTGGAAAAAGTGTTACAGGTTTCTGCCAGTTCCTTACTCATGAAAACCAAACCTTAAAGACTATGTAAGGACACCTGTTCAGAGAAACTAACTGCATTCCAGGCCACCTCCCTGACCCCCCAAAGCACAAGCTGGGGTGCGGGGCTGAGGTGGGAGAAGCAGGCTCTGGGGTTTGCTCTCAATTTTAGCCCTATGGCTGTGATCCTCTGGGGGTAGGCCTTTAACTTTATATACTGTGGAATTTCATATTTTTTTCTTATACTGTTCCATTAAACCAGTCTCTGAGCCTTCTCTTTGTTCATTGTTTATGAATTTATTCACTAAAGATAATTTGAGCTCCCACTATAAGGTAGACACTGTTCAGTTCTAGGGATATAATCAGGAATATAACAAGTCTGTGCTCCACGCTCAGAGAATGTGCAACTTATAAAAGGAAACAAACAAAACCTACAAAACAATATCTGCTCCAGCAAAAAGTCCCCAAGAATTTGGTATTAGTACAAAAATATGCAGTTGAAAACAAAAGGATAAAAGATGTGGGGAGCATTTACCAGATTTAAACTTAATGCATGAGAATCGCTTGAAGATTTTCATCTCCAAGAGAATGAAACATCATGAACTATTTGCTGTAAGCAAAGGTCTTCAGTCAAGTCTGTCAGGAAGAAAGCAGTTCCATCAGAACTGGCTTGCATAGAGGAGAGCTTGAGGTTAAGTATATAGAGAGTGGAAATAAACAGTTCTTGTGACTGATTATCTCTCTGAGCTTATAAAAAAAAAAAGGCACAGAAGGTATCTCCTTCCTGTGCCCTGCTCTCTTGCAAGATATTTCAATAAAATCTCCTTTTTCTGTTCTACCAAAAAAAGATTTCTTGACTTTTCAAAATCCTTGCCTTGGGAAGGGATGGCAAGAAAATAAAAGGAAAGGAGGTTTGTTTGAAACTCTTCAGCTGCCCACCCCCTATGGCTGGAAGCTGGTTACAAAGCAGTCTGGTTGGGGTTCCTGTGCAAACTCAACAAGTCAAGAACCAACTTACATCCTTCACTTCTAGAAGCCATAAGAACTGGGTGTGTCCCCGAGAATGCTGTGTCCTGATTTGGAGGGGAGGACAGGGAAAGAGGTCACTGAGGAAGTTTCTGGAAAAAGTTATATGCCTTTCCTTCTTAAATAGCATGGAAGCAGTGGATACCACAAGCTGAATGGAGAAGAGAGTGGGGAGATGAGAGCTTTGTCAGAGCTGCTCATAGTTTAATCTGATGTTAAAATAAGGTTCTTTGCCATATTTCTAGGTATGGAAGAAGAGAAGGAGAAGCCTAAATTGGAATGAGAACTAAATCTAAGTGGAAGAGCTTGACTGAGACTCCCTTGAAGATTCATTTTCCCCTGGGCATTGGCAACACAGGAGCAGAGCGGAAGCTTCAAAAAATGCAGTGGAAGACACCTCCACCCCTGCCCCAGGGGAAGACAACTTTTATAAGGAAACATATATAATAGAATATAGGTGTTTCCAAAATTACTTGCCTTCACTATGTTTTAAAGAATTATTTCCAAATTTATTATTTGTGATAACACCAATTTTTCTTTTTTTCTCTTTTCTAGTTTTTAACTAAAATTGATCATTGGTATTTAAGTCTTGCAGTTGTAATTCCATTTAATCAAGGAAGAATAAAATTCTATTGCATTTCTTGTTTGCTTTGTGAAAAGCAAAAGGCAGGTGTAAAGCAAGGCACTGGTGTATCTAAGTCCTACAGGTGGCTGGAATAGTGAATCTGGACCACAGGGTAAACCCAGAGGAACTGTGAATGTTCCATATTGCTAGAATGTCACAGTTTGCCTCAAACAGGCAATGTTAGTAATAATTACATCCATTTAGTCTAAACCCAAGTCTGTTTGGATCTCATGATTTAACCTTGTGAATGTTTTCCTAGATGCAAACTATAATTTTAATGAGAATCAGCCACTCTGATCTGACGTCTGGATGGCACATCTCAAAACCCTAACTGCATTGATGTCTCCTTCCTTGTTTTGTTTCTCTTACCAGTCCAAACTGGGTTTACTGAAGGTAGTACTTACAAGTTTCTAGTTTTAAAAATGTGCATCTTTTCGATAAATCCAAAAAAGAATAATATTGGGGAGGGGGAAAATGCTAATTTATAAAATCTTTCATCATAATTATTTTTAAAATAGAATATAGAACGTATATAAATCAAAATACATTACTTAACATAAATATGGATGTTAATTGTCCATGCCGAGAGAGATCAACAATGTAAGACCATTCACTCCAAAAATTATAATGCATTTTAATTGTAATACAATTTAAGATACACTAGAAACAAATCTCTGTCTGTCTGTCTCTCTTTTATGTGCATATATATGTACATTCTCTTTCTTTTCTTGTTTATAGCCACTTCCCAAGTGAGTCTGATTATTCCCATTGGCAACTTCCAAAGTCCCAAAACTCACCTAAAGGAGGAGAGAAATAGTTCTAGGATGCTACTGATTATCTTACAGATAATTCAAAAAGATATACTTGAATAATAAATGCATGTATAATTTACAGTACAGATATCCAATATTTAGCACACTAAATTATTAAAATTTTCAAACTGAAGGAGAAAATTTTGGTTAATAACTATGACTGTCAAAAACAACACATATCATAACATAATACTGTGAAAGAACACTAGCCAAACAGATCTGTTGTGTCGATCAATATAAATGGGCTTGGCTCACATATTGAAAAGAAAAAGATTTTCAGACTAGATCACAAAGAAAATTCCACTTTGTGCTATATATTAAAAACACACATAAAATGAAGTAATTATAAAAGAGTGAAAAGAATATAATCAAAGTACACCTGAAAAATTTAGACGACAAGAAATAAGGGTTGTTATTTTAATCTGAGGCAATGTGCATATCTGTTCCAATTTCCTCCTGGTGAACCCACCCACTCCCAATTGGTTATCAATGCAGAATATAGCTATCAGAATCATTACACTGGCTCTCAAGTTCATGGAGTTAAGAACTATTATGTAGGCCAGCAGAACACACTGAGAAGAACAAGAGAATTAGCACAGTTTTGGAATAACTGATATAATTAATGATGCCTCAACAACTTGAAGTCTCCAGAGTTAATGGCTCTCATCAAAACTACATTTAACTTATCTGTTTGAATTGTGTTATGGGCTGTATTATGAATTATAGTCTCCCAAAATTCAAACACTGAAACCCAAATACCCAGTACATCAGAATGTGACTGTGTTTGGAAATAAGACCTTTTAAGGGGTGGTTAAGTTAAAGAAAGCCATTAAGATGGACCCTAATCCAATCTGACTGGTGTTCTTCTAAGATGGGGAAAGTTGAACACAGAGAGACACCCCAGGGATGTGCAAGGATACAAAAAAAAGGATGTGTGAGCACACAGCAAGAAGGCAGCCGTCTGTAAGCAAGGAGAGAGGCCTCAGCAAAAAAACTGCTCACACTTTGATCTTGGATTTCTATGTTCTAGAACTGTGAGAAAGTAAGTTGGTTAAGGCATCTAGCTGCTAGGACTTTGGAATGGTAAACTTAGCAAACTAATTCAGTCTGTGTGAAAAATATTGATGGATTTTAGAGAATACTGATAAATTACTGCAAATGTATTTAGGTGGTGACTGCTTGCAACAGCTCTTCCAGCAGAGGTATCATTTTTTGCTGGAATGAATCAATACAATACTGGTTATGTGATATGAAGCTATTAAAATTTTCTTTTTACCTTGCAAAGACAGCAGCATGCCTTCACTGCTATCTTCTCTCAAAATGATTCCATTCTGTCGCTACATCATAATTTAGTCCACAGTGACCTTGGTTATCTCGTCATCCCACGAAGCATTGTGCTTCTACTATATGGTTATACGTACTGCTTGGACTAGTGAGCAAGATATAGCAAATATCATGTGTGTAATGGATACACACATGCAGGATAATGCAATCTTACTGCTACCCTCAAAATATTTCTGGGAACTTCTATTTTTCTGAAGATTCTAGAGCTGCATTGACCTGAGTGAGACATGTCAATGTGTGCCTTCTAAAATGAAATTGAAATGTTTTATCTTGCATGCTTTGCCACTCAGAATGAAATGCAACACTCATTGTGCCTTATTAGATTTTAATGTCAATATGTATCACATTGAGGGTGTTGTTCTTATCTCTACAGCACAACTAGGGAAAAATTAATTAGGGCAATAAAAATTAAAGTGAAACAGATAAAAGTATTAATAGCAGATGACATGATTTTAAACATCTTACCTACCCCCCCAAAGCACCTACTCCAGATAGGTATTTATTACTGCCAACAAATCACTTCAGAGCTTAATGGCTTAAAAGAACAACACTTATTTTGGTAATAAGCCTGCAACTTGAGCAGAACTTGGCACAAGGAATTCATCTATGAACCACTCAGTTTCTGCTGAGGCTGCTTGAAGGGTGCCGGTTAGGTCTCTTGACTGTTTGCTCACCAACATGCCCAACCATTGCTACTGGCAGTTGACTGAGACCTCAGCTGAGTCTGTGACTGGAGCAACAACCGGTGGTTTTTCCATATGGCACCATGGCTTTATCACAATGTGGTAGCTGGATATCCCAGCAGGTCTGGGTGACAGGTATATGACATTGTATGACTTAACCTCAGAAATCACACAGTGTCACTTCTGCAGTGACTTAGTCAGAGACCTGCCCAGATTCAAGTGGAGGAAATATAGAACTCCATCTCTTGAGAGGGGAGTATCAACATTACATTTCAAGAAAAACATGCAAGATTAGGATCTATGGGAGGCTAAATTTGCAAAATACAATCATCCACACACATCCAAAGCAGTAAATTAAAAACTAGCTTTAAAATTAAAATAATTTAATAAAGAAAGGGTAAAAAATTATGTGGAGATGAGTAGTTTTACTATATAAAAATGTAATGGAATCTACTGGATTGAAAGAACCCCATTTCCAAGAGCAATACTTTTGTGAAGAAAATTAGGAAATATATATGACACAAAAGAAGGTTTGAACACTTAGAAACATACCATGTTCTTAGAGACCAAGACTCAATATCATAAAGATGCCAAGTCTTAAATCAATTTATAAGCTCAGTGTGACCTCAATAAAAATAAATTCAGCATTTACTTACTTACCTACTTATAAAACCAGAGAGTTTATCCTAAAGGTCAAATAAATAAAAATTGGTTTGAAAGCTTGAAGTAAAAAAAAAAAAACAATAAGCAGTCCAGAAGAAAACACCATTAGATATTAAAACATTATAAAAAACCTCATTCATTAAAACAGTATGGAACTGATTATGAATATACTGATTGATGGATGGAGCAAAAGAGAAAGACCAACCATAGAAATAAGTACATGTTTTGGAATATAATATTGTCTGTGAACAGGGTAGATTACTCAGTTAATATCACTTGGATAACTGGAAGGCCAACTGATTTTTTTTTTTTTTGTATTGCATTGATACCATGCACTTTTGACCTTAACAAATCAAAGATTTCATTTGGTTTTTAAGTATTAAAAGAAAACTCAGATTTTTTCTTTTAAGAATGGAAAAGGGGGCCTCCCCAGTGGCGCAGCGGTTGAGCGCTGGGTTGTGAAGCTGCCCGCAGTCTCCGCAGAGCTGGTTAGATCCCCGGCCACCGGGTGAGGGTCCCACATGGTGTGCAGACCTCTCCTGCCGCCCGCTGCTCCCCTCAGCAGTGTACTTCGGTCCTTCTGCCTGCTCTGCTCCCCGCTCTGGCTCTGGTGAATTCTCTCGCCCTCCCGCGCTTCTGACTGTACCCAGTGCCTGTATAAATAAATAAATAAATCTTTAAAAAAAAAAAAAAAAAGAATGGAAAAGGGCTTTGTAACTATGACTCAAAACCTAATGATCATAAAATAAGATTAATAATTCAATTATATAAAATCCCAAAATTTCTGCATTACAAAAACTAAAGCAAAGACAAAGCATATTTGCAACTAGTCACAGACAAAAAGCTAATCATCCCAATATATAAAGAGATCCTGGGGGACAGGGAGGAAGAAATAAAAGAACAGCAACATAATAGAAAAATAATGGCAAAGAATATAAATAATTTAGGGGAAAAGAAATGAAAATAGCTCTTAAACATTTGAAATGCAACTCTAATATAATGAGAAAAACACAAATTAAAGCCACACTGAATGCCATTTTTACCTATTGGCTGGGCAAAACTCCAATAGTTTAGCGACATACTTTATTGGAGAAGGTATGAGGTCACAGGGACTTTCATAATTGCTTGTGGGAATATAAATAAGTACATCTCCTATAGTAAGCAATCTGTCTTTAGCTTTTAAAATTGCAAATGCATAAATCACTTGACATAGCAATTCTATTTCTCAGAATTTATATTATCAAGCATACCACTCCACATGTTGAGTTTGTTAATTGCACCGAAGCTTATAATACCAAAAAAAAATTGAAATGCTAATAATAAGAAACTTATTTTTAAGTTATGGTCCCTCCATTCAGTAGAATACTACACAGCTGTACAAAGAAGTAGAGAAGTGAGGGAATCACTGCGCTCTGTGTGTTGATATGGAAAAATCTCTAAAATCTAAAAAATTAAATTTTTTTAATTTAAAAAGAAAGATTGAATAGTGTGTATAGCAGGCAAGTTTTCATGTAAATAGATGGGAACGGGGATTTAAAATAATTTATTTGCTAGTATATGTATAAAGTAATACATGAAGAATGCAAAAGAGCATAATGGCAGTGGTTATCTGCTTAAGTGGTAAAGAATCTCACAGGAGAAAGCAGTAAGAGATTATTCAAAATATGTTTTCAGGGCCTCCCTGGTGGCACAGGGGGTTGAGCACAGTGCTGTGAAGCTGTCCGCAGCCTCTGCAGTGCAAGTTCAATCCCTGTCCATGGGACTGCCCACATGGTGTAGCAGACCTCTCCTGTCTCGCCTGCTGCTCCCCTCAACAGTGTACTTCGGTCTAGCTGCCTGTTCTGTTCCCGGCTCTGTCTCTGGTGAATCTTCTCACCTCCCACGCCTCTGGGCTGTACCCCAGTTCTTGTATGCATAAATAAATAAATCTTAAAAAAAAAAAAAACCCTTTCTCAAAAAAAAAAAAACCCAAAATATGTTTTCATATTTTTTTTAATTTATTGCCTATTCTATCAAAGGTAGTTAATTTTAAACTAAATTCTTAGAGGAAAGAAAAGTATATTTAAAACCAAAAAACCCCAATTAGGAGAAATCTCCTCACACCTGAAAGAATGGCCCTTGTCAAAAAGACTGGAAATAAGGCCTCCCCGATGGCGCAGCGGTTGAGCGCTGGGTTGCGAAGCTGCCCGCAGCCTCTGCAGCGCCGGTTCGATCCCCGGTTGCTCCCCAGCCACCGGAGGAGGGTCCCACCTGGCGCGCAGACCTCTCCTGCCGCCCGCTGCTCCCCTCAGCAGTGTACTTCGGTCCTTCTGCCTGCTCTGCTCCCCGCTCTGGCTCTGGTGAATTCTCTCACCCTCCCGCGCTTCTGACTGTACCCAGTGCTTGTATAAATAAATAAATAAATCTCAAAAAAAAAAAAAAAAAAAAAGACTGGAAACAGCAGGTGTTGGCTGCCGTGGAGAAAAACGAATATTCATGCACTGTTGGTAGAAATATAAATTGGTGCAGCCTCTATGGAAAACAACATAGAGATTTCTTAAAAAGATAAAAATGGAAATACCATATGATCCAGTGATACTTCTAGGTATTTACCAAAAAAAAAAAAAATATGCAAACACTAATTTCTGGGCTCCTGAAATTACAGACTTTTGTAAATGAATGGAAGATCAATCAAATTTGATGAAAAAATTTCAGCTAGTCAGAAAATAATAACAGAACATGCTACCGAAAAATTCATATTGCCAAAGCAATGCTTAAAATATATGTATAGGCTTAGATATTATTTTCATACAAAAAAATAAATGAAGGAAGCAAATGACATAATCAGCAGGCTATGTAATGGAAAACACATAAAAATAAAACTTGGGAAAATATAATGAAGAAATTAATAAAAACAAGGGATGAAATTAATGCAGCAGGAAAAATGAAAAATGTGAAATAAACAAATGAATGAATAAATGCCTCTAATCTGTACAAATAATATTATAATATGCTAACTGTGGAGAGAGAATTGGCAATGTAAGTGCAGATATGAAGTAAACTTTTAATTATGAAAGTGTGCTTTATAGTCTATGATGACAAATTCTTAGAAGCCAAAGAAAAATGTAATTTTAAAGGATAATGGATTCTTTTAGAAATAGAGTTGTAATAGTTTGATATCCATGGAAGACATTTTAATGTTTGATTAACTATCTCCAAAAAAGGAATTGGGTCCAGAGTATTTTATGAGCAAGTTCTTAAAAACTTTCAAGTAACAACTCTCATGCCAGTAAAATTGTTCCAAGATTACAGAATGATGAAACCTTCTCGAATTATTTTTCAAAGTTAATATAACCCTTAAAACAAAGCCAACACTTGCTTAAACGAAAATATTAGCAACATAAATCAGAACATTAATTTTTATGATTAAATAAGGATTATTCTAAAAATCAAAAATGACTTGAAATAGAATATTTATTTAAAATATTATCTCAGACTATTTACACATCCTACATCTGACAAAGAGTTAATGCCCAAGATCTACATAGAACTCACACCACTCAACAAAAAGAAAACAAAGGCCCAATTAGAAAATGGGCAGAAGAGCTGAATAGACACATCTCCAAAGGAAACATACAGAGGCCCAACAGACACATGAAAAAATACTAATGCTTCTTATCAAGGAAATACAAATCAACACCACCATGAGATACTATCTCACTCCTGTGAGAACAAGCCATGTCAAGAAGACCAATAACAACAGTGTTGGAGAGTGTGTGGAGACAAGAGAATGGCGAGAATGTAGACTGATCCAGCACTTACGGAAAACTGTACTCAGGTTTCCAAAATATTAAAAATAGATCTACCTTATGACCCAGCAATGCTCCTCCTGGGTATCTACCCACGAAATGCAAAAACAGTAATTTAAAGGCACATATGTACTCATGTGTTCATTATGCCCTATTGACAATAACCAGATTATGGAAATAAGTGCCCCAAAACAGATGAATGGATTAAGAAAATGTAGATCTACACAATGAAATACTACTTATCTACAAAAGAAGAGGAAATCTTGCCATTTGCAACAACATAGAAGGAATTGGAAGAAATTATACTAAGTGAAATAATTCAGGAGGAGAAAGACACATACCAGATGATTTCCAATGGACTATGGTGGAGGAGTATGGATATTTTGGTGGTGGGTGTGGTGTTGTAAATACATCTAAAGAAATATGAATTTATTCCCCCAATCATGTACAATGCTGAAAACCATTTACCTCAATAAAAATAACACTACATTCTGTTCAGCACAAAAAGTCTAGCTTCCATCTATCACGGCACAATTGGCTCTTTTCCCCAATTTACCCATCCCCCTTTCCAATAACCACTTTATTATGCTTATAGCCTAAAATTTATTTTTCTCATGCTACTTGCAGCAACATGAATGGAGCTTGAAAGGATAATGCCAAGTGAAATAAGTCAGAAGGAGAATGCTAAATACCAGA